AGTTAAATCCATAGTCACCGATATTAGGCATATCCGCAAATTCTGGCTCGTACAATGCACCATAGTCAGCTTCATACATGTGTGCTGGAGGTTTAATGTGTATTGTATTTATAGGAAATTCATTTACATCATCATCGGAGTCATGTTGAACTACAGTGATTCTGGCTGAACGAATAGTCCATTCTCAACACCATCCACACCTGGCTCACGAAGAAGTTCTTCTGGTGGAGATGAGGGTTCCTCCATGCTGTCGACATTTAGGTCGAACAAGTTGGTAGTTATATACCTTCCCCTTGAACTTGAAGGCATCTCAACATTGAGGTCGAAGAAGTTCGATGTTGAATGCCTCCCCCTGGAGCTTGATGTCATTGTGTCAAATGGGTACTGCACAGATTGTTGTATCAAGGGCATCTCCATATTCAGGCAAAAGAAATTGGTAGATTAATGTCTTCCCCTTGAACTAACGATGTTGCCATACGGATTGTTTGTGGAGCCACCTTGTTACAGATCGTAGAAGTTGTTGATGAAGTCTCCTCCTTGACTGATGGATAGCACTATGATGCAATTTTCCATTAGATGTAAAATCATTACACATACTATAGTTGGCTGTCAACTTGATCAGCTTGTTGAGTTAACCCATAGTGGAGCATAATGACATACCACGAATAACACGAACTTCAACTAATTTCGCATACATCTCTGTCTCGACGTCTGAATACTGATTTGGAGAATCAACCATCATTGCAACATCGTCATCGTTCGATAGTTCGAACGCTGTATAAGTTAACAGAAACATCGATGTTGGAAATCTGTATTGAAACGAGGACAATCTTCTAGTACTTCCAACATGAACCTTCATTGAAATATTCGTTATCAGCTCCTCAAGAGTTATTTTTCTCTTTAAGGATATTTAGACATAATGATTTGATACAAACACAACACCAATTTCATATTCCCGAATTTCTCCATCATAGTAAACAATAGCTGAAATACGCGTCATTATTAGAGTTTGAAATATTGAGAGTCTTATATCTGTAAAATCAATAGTTGAAATACGCTTAATTAAATAAATAGTGTATGAATTAAAATATAACCTCATAAAAAATTTAAAAATATTCACAATAATGTAAATAATATAATTTTTATTGTTACTGTATCAGAAAAATGTCTCGACGTATGATCACACTTTCCAATTTTACAACCGCAAAAAATAATAAAAATAATTAGTAAAATATTTTTTTTTCAAATAATCATATATAAAATAAATATAATATATATAAAAAATTTACATTACGATTGAAGGGGTGTTATTTATAGGCGATGAGAGAGTTTAAAGGTCGAGAAATTCGGAACCAATAATGAAAGGAGGAGATGGTTATCCGCGCCTTACAGATGCGTGTCAGAATCCGAGAAAGGCGCAGATGGTAATTCACGCATCCTTTTTACGTGGCGCCGGCTCGGATAAGGCGCGGATGGTTCATGACGTGACTCCAGCTCGGATTAAATCCCGCAAGAAAGGGTACTAGATCGGTAAAATTTGGTGAAACGATGCCGCAAGAAAGGGTACTAGATCGGTAAAATTTGGTGAAACGATGCCTGACAGATAATTAATTTCTGTCAAGGTGAGTTTTGGGTAAAAATGCCCAATAATAAGAAATTAAGTCATTATTTTTATAGCAATAATTTATTAATTATAAAATAATAATAAGAATACGAAATGGTAATGAATTAGGCGAATTTCCCAATAAATCACACTACCCATCTTTATTTCCCTGTCAGACACTCATTCAACTTTATTTCCAGATCTAACACCCTTTGCAGAAAAGCGTGACCCATGCACCGCCGCGCCTTACGTTGATGTGGCACCATGTGGGGTAAGGCGCGACCCATGCACCGCGCTTTACGCTGATGTGGCACCACGTGTAAAAACCTGGTACTAAATTTTGTAAATATTTTAAAAATGGTGCTTAATATGTAATTAATTTCTGTTATGGTAATTTTTGTGTAAAAACATCAACTTTATTTATTTATTTTTGCTTGAAAAAAGCTTTCTACATTAAAATCTTTAAATTTTTTTAACAAATTATTTGATAACTCGACAAATTTTAATTTTTGCATGAAATTACACAATACGTATAATCTAGTGTAGGAAAACTTTGAGTGTAAGTAATTTAAAATATAAATAGTTTTATAAAAGTTTTATAACTAGTATTTTTTTACAAAATGATTATGATAAAAAATATTTTATAATTTAAAAATTATAAATTTCATATATTTTTAAAAAAATTATTAACTTTTAAAATTAATTGTTTAAAAATATAAAAAATTAAAATAAAGTTTTAATTACAATTGAGGGATCAAATACATTATTATTCATTAATTGATATTTTTTAACAACAACTAATAATGTTTATTCATTTTTAATAAAATTAGAATTTAATATTTATTTTGTATTTTTTAAAATTAATATTAGAAAGAATATTGTAAATATATAGGTGATATTTTTTAGTTTTACATTCTTTTTTTTAAAATTAATATTAGAAAGAATATTGTAAATATATAGGTGATATTTTTTAGTTTTACATTCTTTTTTTATTGAATTTTGTTACAAGTTTAGAGAGTAACACAAAAGAAAGGAAAATCTTTAGATTTTCATGTATGTATTTATACTTTACTTTTAGAAACATTTTACCATAATTTTTCTTAATTAATTTGAATAATAGCATAATAAATGATTAATTTTAATTATAACTCTCATATTTAAAAATCAATAAAAATACAATATAAAAAGAATTAAAAATGAATAAAATTCAATAAAAAAAAGAATGTAAAGCTAAAATATTAATTATTTTTAATATTTTTATATTTTTAAACAATTAATTTTAAAAGTTAATAAATTTTTTAAAAATATATGAAATTTATAATTTTTTAAATTATAAAATATTTCTTATTATCATCATCATCATTTTGTAAAAAAATACTAGTTATAAAACTTTTATAAAACTATTTATATTTTAAATTACTTACACTTAAAGTTTTCCTACACTAGATTATATGTATTGTGTAATTTCATGTAAAAATCAAAATTTGTCGAGTTATCAAATAATTTGTTAAAAAAATTTAAAGATTTTAATGCTTAAAATTTTTTTTGCACACAAAAAAAATAAATAAAAAAGTTGACGTTTTTTATATAAAAATCACCCAAATAAAAATTAATTACATATTTAATACTATTTTAAAAATATTTATGAAACTAACACCTAATTTTTACACGTACCATAAGACGTGATGTTTAGACCGCGTCTTTCAACATATAACGTAAGTTACGATGCATAAATTGCGTCTTTTCGTAAAAGATATTATATCGAAAAATAAAATTGAATGTATGTTTGACAGGAAAATAAATATGGGTAGGGTGATTGGAAATTCGCCAATGAATTATTACCTGCTCGACTCTTTGACCATACAAACAAAACAAAAGGGATTGCGTGTGAATCACGTCGCGAGTGTGGGAGTGCGGGATGGTCGGGGTGCAGTTGATGGGTGCCCGTCTGCCCGCTGGGCAATTACAGTTGCCTGTTTAAGGTGGCTGATTGTTTTATCCTTCATGTTAGTGTATGTGTTTTCTGTCAAATCTTTATTTCTGACTTGCCAAGTACATCCAATATAAAAACTCAAATGTTTCATTGAAAATCTGTATTACCATCCTCGTACATGTTTACCAGTGTATTTAAATAAAATAACCTTATAAGAAAATATAAAACGCCCAATCTTTCATATAAAAAACACTAATATTTCTTTATAAATTGTTACGTGGCATGAGGTTTTGTGTTCGAATGTGGCATGATGCGTAACAATTATGATTATAAATTTATGATTACGATCAGTTTTGATTTTTTACGAGGGAGTGTGAATTGTAAAAAACAAAATAAAAAATTAAGGGTATAAATGAATAAAATATTCAGTGAATTATATGTTTGTTTAATAAGTTAAATAAATGAGTTTAAATTATTTTCTTATGTTTATTCAATAAATTAATGAACACAAATAAATATGTATTCGGTTCGTTTATTTTCACTAACAATCTCATTTATTAGCTTATTTATAAATTTATTGATCAACTTGTTTATTGGTTATTTTTTTATATATTTTAAATATTAGAGAATATATGGACTAAATTGAACATAAATATGAACTTTAGAATTTAAACTATGAAGCCTAAGGAATTAATAGCGTAATTTCACCATTGTTCTTTCACTTGCAAAAAAAAAGGATAAAAAAGGACATTGATTGTTAAACGTTTGAATATTAAATGAATATGTTCGTGAACGTACAAACGAACATATTCACTAACGTTAAATAGATATATTTGTGAACACTAAATGAATGAACACCTTAAAAAAGAAAATAAACATAAACACGATTCTAAAAAATTATACGAGCACGAAACAAACATAAGTACATTAAAAAATAAACAAAAAAATATGAATATAATTTTATTTGTTAAAAGTCGATTTATTTACACCCTTAAAAGATATCATACAAGTAGCTACGGCTAATTTAAAGGCATAATGCAACAAAATAACCCTAATATTTTACAGTAGTATCAAATTTACCCGTATTATTTTTTTGGAGTATTTGTTCACTGAACATTTATTTTTGGGTTAAAAATAACTCACGCTGGATGAAAACCGTCAATCAACTGACGGTAACGTGAGGTGTTGACTAAGCGCGCACGCGTGGAGAGAAAAATTGACATGGAAGTCCATATCGTCGAGATCTCACTGTTAAGTCATTTTTTTAAAATTAATATTTATATTTTTTATATTATTAATTCAAACCAATCAGAGAGTGACACATGTCACTCTCCGATTAGTGCACTATGAAAATGATTAAATGCACCTGAGTCTCTCACCGTGTTTTTTGGCTTTCTGTCTCTCACCGCCTCGGTCAGGGGATATTTGGCTCTGTCTACCGCGCTTCCATCCCTAACCACCACGATGGAAACCACGATGGAAACCACAACAACAACAACGGCAATCAGACTTTCGCCGTCAAGGTGATGACGCCGGCTCGCTCCAGGGCAAACGGGAGTTCCAAACGAGCTCTTTTTCACTTCTAAGCTCGACTCTTCCCTCGTCGTCTCGGTCCATGGATTCTCTTACGACAGGAAACGACGCCGTATGCTCCTGGTTTATGAGCTCATGCCGAACGGTAATATGCAAGACGCGTTGCTTCATCGGAAATGCCCGGAATTAATGAACTGGAAACAGCGATTTTCGATTGCTGTCGATATCGCCAAGGGACTCGACTATCTCCATGGATTGGATCCTCCGATAATGCATGGAGATATCAAACCTAGTAGCGTTTTGTTGGATCAGAATTTCTCAGCCAAAATTGCAATGCTGAAATCTATCAAGGTTGAAATCTGAGGAAATTAGAGTGGAAATAGCTGAGTATTATGGATCTGTAGCTGAAACTGATAGTGTAGCCACTGGAATCGACGAATTCAGATTGGCGATAGATCAATCTCCAGTTTCGGTTACGGTTACGGAATCACTGCTGAATGCAGAGGCTGTTACGGTTGCTGCTTCCCCGGAATCGCTTTCAGTATCTCCTGAAATGATGGAGAAAGGTAGTGTTTCAGAGGGGAATTTAAGTGTTTTGGAGAGTGGTGGGAAAGGAATAAAGAGCAGTTCTGGTAGCGATTGGTGGCGGAAGCAAGATAATGTGGCAGCTCTGGTGGAGAGCGGGAAAGTGAAAGATAATGGATTGGATCCCTTCTATGGCGTCTTCAGGTAGTTTAACAAATGCAAAATCAGAGAAGAAGAATAAAGGGAGTAAGAAACGGTTGGAATGGTGGGTGTCGATGGAGGATGACAAGGGAAAGAATGTAAAGAAGAAGAAAGATTGACATGTGTCACGAAGAAAGTCACTCTCTGATTGATTTGAATTAATAATATAAAAATATAAATATTAATTTTAAAAAATATATGGTAGTGCCACATTAGCGATCTTGATGACATAGACTTCGACGTTAATTTTTTTCTTCACGCGTGTGCGTTTAGTTAGTATCCCGCGTTGATCTTCAATTTACTGACGGTTTTCATCCGGCATGAGTTATTTTTAACCTAAAAATAAATGTTCAGTGCATAAATGTTCTAAAAAAAATAATACGAATAAATTTGACACTACTATCAAACGGTAGAGTTATTTTGTTTCGTTCTGCCTAATTTAAACATTAATACCACCATGTATTTTGGGTTAGACAATGTTTGCCAATTACCATTTCCCATTTTGAAAATGGAAACTTCAATCAATACTTTTCAGATGTTGGCCCCTTACTTTTATATTTTTTTGTATGTACGGATTTCCCCTTTTTAAAATAGTAGTATCGATCAGATTGATTTGGCCATAAAATCCCTTACAATAATATTCGAGTTATTTAGTGAAAGTTCATAATAAAAATGGTAATTAGTGAAAGTAGTCTTGAGATGCTTTACCAAACGAAAGATGGGTTAAAAAAAGTTTGTATATAGTTTAATATACATTTAAAATAACTATACTTTTATAATTTATTTAAAGTAAACTTTATAAATAAATTTATTAAAATATTTTTAGATATTAAATTTAAAATTTATAATATAATTATTAAATTTAAAATTTATCATAAAATTAATGTCACACTTTTAAACATCGTTAAAAGAATGATTTGATATTTTAAATTAATAAAAAATATTTTATCATATAATTGTAACTAAAATTTAATTTTAATATTTTTTAAATTTAAAATATCATATTACTTAACCATGATAAATAACATCTAATAGTACAATTTCCAATTTTTAATAAATTCTAAATATATTTTTTATTTTTAAAAGATTGATATAAATGAAAATTATCTTAATATAAATTAATGGTAGTTGGTTTATGGATGGATACAAATTCAAAATGCATCAAACCCTGAATAATTGCATATTTAATAGGTTATTTGACATAACTGACACCGTTTTTTTTAATTTTCCCTTTCTGACACCGTTTGACCAATATTTCCAGAAGTAGCACCCTTTCTGTTGAGTTGGCAAAGGCGCGTCCCCGGGGACGCGCTTTACCCGTGTTTTCGCTGAGTTGGATGCCACGTGTGGAAGGCGCATCCCCGGGGACGCGCCTTTGCCAACTCAGCAGACACGTGTGGAAAGCGCATCCCCGGGACGCGCCTTCCATTAAATGTCATAAATGCCCCCATCCGTTTTTCCTAATACCCCTCCTCTCCCCTATATAAACCCCCTCAACCCTCCCTCATTCTTCACACCAAAATCATATTCTCCTCTCTTATATAACTCAAATTCTCCAACTATTTGAGTTTTAAATTTGTTATTAGTGGTAAGAAATTTATTTTTATGTTAGTATTTTTTAAATAGTTATTACTTTTTATATTAATATTTATGTAAATATTATTTTTTTATTAAAATAATATTATATAATTATTATTTATTTAGAATTATTAATTTTTTTTGCTAATTATATTGTTTTGTCTACAGTTATAATGGAAAACGAAATGCTGTTGCGATTGGATATTGATCATATATCCAGACATTTTAGCGATATGGTAATATTTTTTATAATTAATGTTAATATTTAAATTTATTTTTATTTTAAAGTTATTATGAATTTATATTAATTTTTATTTTTTATAATGTATATTATTTAGGATGCTGATCGTATTTTAGAGACTTTTATTAAAAATCCACGTATACCGACACCGGAACGTATTTTGCTATATTTGGCTTCTGCCGGGTTCGGGTATATTGCAACAATTATAGGCGGTTGCAAACTCGAACATGTCCTAATTTCTGCACTGATTGAGAGGTGGAGGCCCGAGACACACACTTTTCACCTTCCATGTGGAGAGGCGACAATTACATTGGAGGATGTCTCTATGCATCTGGGGCTTCCCGTCGACGAAAATATGATGTGTGGTATGGCGGATGATGATTGGCAATCAATGTGCATTGATTATCTTGGAGCTGCTCCGCCAGAGTTTAATGGAGGTAGAATAGCTTTATCTTGGTTGAAAGCTAATTTTGAGGTTTTAAATGAAAATGCTTCAGAGGATCAAACAAAGGCATGTGCTCGGGCATATATTCTACGAATAATTGGAGTAATATTGATGCCCGACAAATATCGCAACCAAGTGCATTGTATGTGGTTGCGGCATCTGATCGATTTTGATGAAGCTGAAAGATATAGTTGGGGTGCTGCAGTTTTGGCATTTCTCTTTAGAGAAATGTGTCGGGCGACGAATTATAAGAAAACTGCTATCGGTGGATGTCTTCTGCTTCTACAATCATGGGCGTGGTTCCGCATGCCTTTCTTATGCCCGATCGTGAATGAACCATACGTATTCCCCTTATTGTTGAGGTAATTTTCGAACTAAATTTTGATTTAAATATTTTCAATTAAATAGGGTGATATTTAGTTTATATTATATTTCATAGGTGGTCGATGAAAAGAAAGGACCATAAAAGTATACCTACTGGGTTAGAGGAAATTCGTTTACTTATTGATACGAAAGCTGGGTCTGAGGTATGTTTTTAAATTTGTTTAATTATTAATATTTTAATTTAAAATGTTAGATATAATTAGAATATTTTTATTTATTCGAATTGTATATTTATATTTCAGTTTCAGTGGATACCTTATGCGAGCGATGAAGTGAAAGCTTGCATCCCACCCCACCTTAGTGGGTCATTAGAGGTATGGATATCGGTTATACCTCTTATATGTTATGCTATTATTGAGTGGCATCCAGTTGATCGCGTGCTCCGTTAGTATGGTTGTACGCAATATATTCCTGGAGCTCCTAGGAATTTAGACGACGTGCATAACATAGATAGACGAGGAAAGAAAGATGTTAACTGGGTGGTGAGACACAGAGATTGGATTGCGCTTTGGGAGAACCGATATACACTGGTGGCCCCTCGACAATATTTACGCTGAAACTGGTCATATGGTTACGGATAACTATATGGACTGGTTTAATGAAAATGGGAAGTCGTTTCTACTTTCGGCGGAAGCACGAGGGGTTAACATTCCTAGGCGCCGAGAAAGACGTCAACCGTCTCAATATCATCATCCCCCGACGCGTGGACGGAGAGAAGGCGCTACCGGTTCTGCATCAGTCCCACCACAATATCCTTATTGGTCGATGCCGTAGGGGTACATGCCCAGCCCTCCACTTCATATGCCAAGCCCACCAGTTTATATGCCATCTCCGCAGGGTTACATTCCGAGCCCGCAGGGTTATACTCTGAGCCCGCAGGGTTACATTCCTAGCCCGCCAGGTTACATGCCTAGCCCGCAGGGTTTTATACCATATAGAAGCTGAAGAGGGGGTTGTTTTTGAGTCAGATCATTATATCCCCTTAACCTTGAAGAGAAACATCACAATTGAGGAGTTAATCACAAAAATTTCGTTAAAGATTCGTGTAGCAGGCCAGAGAAGACTATCTTCACTTCAGTACAGATTTCCTACTGAACTTTTTCCGCTCACGTATACATCATTTCAGCTTTCAAACGATGATGATGTTTCTATGATGGTTGATGCTCATATGGGGAGTTCACAATCTCTTATTGAAATGTATGCCACTTTTATTGAGGTTCGTGCAACTCGTGGTCTCTCATATTCCTCTCACTTTGGCATTGCATATCAAACTGATCAAGTTGATAGCCCGACACAACTGATCTGTAATGATTTCACATCATTAATGGCGGATCCAACGCCATATACCATGCCATCAAGTTCAATAGGAAGGCATTCATCTGCAACTGCTTATGATCTCAACCCACGTGGCTTCACCAATAATCCATATGGCAACATCTCTTCTACTTCAAGGGGCAGACATTCATCTGCCAATGTTTTCGACTTACATATGGAAATGCCAACGAGACGACAGTCTATTCACATCCCACATGATACAATGGCCTCAAGTTCAAGGGGAGGACACGCAAGCGAGAACTTATTTGACCTCAACATTGGATTATCGGAGGAACCCTCATCTCCACCAGAAGAACCTCTTCGGGAGCCAGGTGCAGATGGTGCTGAAACGGGATTATTCGTTGAACCTGACTCACCATAGTTTAACGTACATTCTGATGATGACGAGGATGACTTTCCGATAAATACAACACCAACCGAACTTCCTGCACATATGTATGAGGCTGATTATGATGCAATGTATGAGCCTGAATTTCCAGATCTTCCTGATGTTGGCAACTATGGACTTCAATCATCAGTCAATGACGGTAATTTACATATTGGAATGGAGTTCGCATCGAATGAGGAAGCAATGATGGCAATAAAGAGTTACAATATTCGTAACTCAGTTCAGTCCCGAGTTGATCGATCTAACACGGAGAAATATGTATGCTACTGCGTCCAACGTGACAACGGATGTCAATGGATGGTCCGTGTATCAAAGAGGAAGAGGAAGAACAACTTATGGGAACTAAGCAGATACAACGGTCCTCATACATGTTGTGCAACAGGTATAAACCAGGATCATCCCAACTTGGACTCCAACATTATTTGTCAAGCAATCATGCCCATTGTGAAGCAAAGCTCTCATATAGCTGTTGCAGTGTTGATTTCTACTATACAGTCACAATATGGGTACACTGTCTCATATAAAAAAGCGTGGTTGGCAAAACAGAATGCCATTTGCAAACTTCATGGCGAATGGGATTCCTCTTACAACGAGCTGCCCAGTTGGGTTCATGTTGTGCAAAGACTTAATCCCGGG